CTGCCGATGAAGGGGACATGGGTTTGTGCCCCAGTCCGGGAAGATCCCACATGCCGCGGAGTGGCTGGGCCCGTGAGCCATGGCCGCTGAGCCTGTGCTCCGCAACGAGAGAGGCCACAACAGTGAGAGGCCCACATACCGCAAAAAAAAAAAAAAAAAAAAAAAAAAAAAAGAGTAGAAAAAGCCTTGCAACAGGAGGCCAGTCTGACCCAAGAATATACCAGTTTGACAAATTTTTGATCATCTTTTGAAATTCCTTCTCTCTCTCTGTGGCTGAGAGGAAAGAGAACAGTTACATAAAACAGAGAAACAAGCACAGTAAACTTTCATCAGAAGCAAAAGAAGTTTGCTGAATAGAAGTTAACAGAAGTTGAAATGGCAAGTAGAATAGGCACTATGTCCTATTTATTTATTTACCTCTTTGGTATCTAACAGAATGCCCAACACCTACTAGATAAGAAACAAATACATGAGTGAATTCACCCAACAATGAGTGAATGAACAAATAAATGTCAGGAGAAAAGGGAAGGCTGCAGACTATTTAGCAAGTGAGACCCTTTCATTAAGTATTTGATTTTTACTTGAGAAAGGGGCCCAGATTCAGGGTCAGAAAAGGGAGCACTCGTGAGTGGTACTACTTAAGGGGCAGGATGATATCAGCATAATTACTGGAGAAGAATAAGTAACAGAGATTCTACAACCACCTATGGCTGCCAATGTTTTTTGCTGCCACATTTTCCCCTAAATTTATTGACTCTGATTTGGCATAATGGTGATACCATGTTTGCAGCATGCTGAGGTAACCATGACCCCCTCCATTCCAAGAAAGCCAATGTTGGAGCACACGAGTTGCTGTATCACCTGCTATTATAGGAAACTGTAACTGGTGTCAAGTGCAGAAAGGGAAGTTACCTCAGATCTGTTTGGACATAACATGAGTATTATCAGTAGGGCCCTGGAGAAAAAACAGCACATCCAAATAAGGTTTTCAAGAGAGAATTTAATGAAGGAATAATCTTCAAAAGTATAGGCAGGGTTTAGGGAAAGCAGCAGGGGATGGTGGAATACTCCCACACCAGCAACATGAGAAAGTCATTATAATCTCTAGGCCTAAAGGGGCAAGTAAAGGGTTACCAGAACCCAGAAAGATCTGTAACTGTAGCTGGCTGGCACAGAAGGCCACTGAATAGAAGCTGTGACCTACTCACAAAACACAGAACAGCTCTGGCAACACAAATCCAGCAGGAGTAAACTGGCTCTTCCAGGCCTCCTGCTCTTGTCCCATTGGTCAAGGCCAACCAGAAACCAAAAAGCAAGAGCAGGGTGAAGAAAAGATCTGAAGGGGCAAAAGGAGAACATACAATACAGAAGGATATTCCAAATGACCGCCACCCAGCAAAACACAGGCACATAAAAAGGCTTTGCCAGTTCCACCCAAATCTTCTAGGCATCAAGAGAACCTGCAAAAAAGTCATAAACACAGGTATTTATTTGGGTTCCCACTGCCCTATATCAAGTTGAGGAAGAAAAAAAAAAAGATTCTAAGAGTAGTCCTAGGTAATTTTTGTCATTTCTGCATCTCTAAGAATAAACAGACAACTCTTTTATCTATAATGGATCACATCTAGAGCAACTCTCTTCTTTGTACTCAAAGGCCATCTATTCCATACCTTCATTATTACACTTATCATGATGTGTTGTGACTCGTGTTTGTTTCTCCCTCATTAGACCCTGAACTCCTTTAGGGCACAGATTGTCTTATTCATCTTTGTATCCCTAGCACTTAACAAGAATTTAGAACAGAGTTAGCCTTCAATCAATGTGCACTGAATCAATTAGTGGACTCAGTGTCCATTAACTGGCAGCCTAATGCCAGGGTGCATAAAATCTAGAATGACCCTCAGCAATTAAACACTAATAAGTTTTAATCAGGACATGGTTTAAAACATTGAGCAAAAACACAGCTTTCATACCAGCCCACTACCATTCTCTGTAGAACAGCTTTTCTTGTGTGCTCAGATGGTATTTATGGCCTTTTCTACAATCATAGAATTCATTATCAAAAGAGCCAGAGAAAGATGGCAAGACTATGCTCCATCTCAGAAAGGAATCAAATATACATCATCTCTCAAAATTCTCACTCTTCTTCCAAGAATTGACCAGATCCACTAAAGGAACTAATAATCTGGGTATATTATATGGAGGAACTCACGTTTCACAGCAGTGATAACACTGATTTGGAGTAGAAACGCGTATACACATGTGTGCGCATGCACAACCTACACACACCCCCACAAGCATGTTTAACTATCACTTCAACAGACGTCACCTTCTGTAATATTATAAAGTAGCCATGTAACACAATCACGTAACATCAGCATATCAAATGGATACACTATATGATGTTGGGTGACCATTAACAGAACCTGGAACATATTCACATTATAATTATGAATCACTTTTACATAACCCTGTACTTATGAAGTGCTTAATCATCTTTTTGTTGCTATAGTCAAATCTCACCTGTAGTTCTCCAAAGAAAAAGAAAAAAGTTAATGCTAGGTTGATAACCCTCTTTGAGCTATCACGATTTTAGGCCGCCAATCTCCTGCTGTCAGTAAGGTGAATGAAAACCAAATTTAAAGTTTGGTTTAAAGTGGACACTTAGACTCCACTAGAAAGGTGAGTTTGCTATAAAAATATATTATCTCCCAAAACTCAGCATGAAAATGCTTTGTATCTCTAGCATCACTGTTCTCCTTCACTGCTGCTTGTAATGGAGTGTTGATACTGTTAAATCTAATGTCACCGTATATACCAAATTAAAATAACACTTCACTTTCTATTTAGGAATAGGGAATTCTGGGCTTATCTTGACAATACACTGAATTACTTTTAAACTCTAGTAACACAAGAACAGATAAAATGTGTTTCAAATAGATAGGTATAAATATCTGATACTGATACTAAATGCGTAAGTCCCCCAAACAAGCTTTTTCCAAAACCATCAAAGATACTTAAAATCAAACACAATTTTATCTTTTTTGAGAGCTGTCATAAATTCTGCAACTGTCAGGTCCATGTAGCAATAAAATTACTCTTACCTCTATAGGACAATTATGTGATTTTTCCATCATATTGAAAATATAGACTGCAAGAATCTACAATTTATAAAGTAGTACTGCATATAGGTTCCTCCATTATACATGAATTAAAACAAAACAAAATATTTACCATATGGCTTTCTGTTTAATAACACTGAGCTACCTAAGAGCAGTATTATGTTTCATCTATCCTGGTTCAGTGTTTGGCCCAAAAAGAAAACATGACGTTTGTTTCATAAATTACCAACTCTCACAAGGTAGGAAAAGGGGAAGTTTATGCATAATTCTGACAATACACAAAATGTGGCAATGACAGAATAATATCCAATATATTAGAATTATCAAAGTCACTTATGACTAAACATTTTCCTCTCCCTTCACTATAATATAAATGAAGTTTAACAAACCTCTACTAACATTCAGTACAAGTTAAAATACATTTTTAAATATACCATATTTACCAAGGTAAGCTTTTCACTGAAAATAAATTTGAATATATTTAATGTAATTATGAATATGTCCGGACATCTGAAAGGATCACTTGTGCTTCTATAAAAATAGTGTTCCAAAATCGTGTTTCCCTTTCCTAAACTGAATTCCTAAAATTCACTGTGGAACTATACAGTAAGTGTCTTCGTAAACAATAAAGATGTTTCATAAATAAAAAAGAGATTTTTCCTCAAGAAACAGGTAACAGAATTTGTAAAACTTCGGCAAGACTGCAAGCACCTAAATGGTCAGGTTTGAGGCAAGAGAGTGGAATACTGGATTAAAACCGGGGAAAATTTCCTATCACTGAAAAGCCATTATGCAGAACTGCATCTAGGATGCTAAAGTCACAGCTCTCCAACCAACGCTGAGAACTTGCCAATACCATTACTTCGATACTCAACCATGAGTAGGACTACCCAAACATCGAGCAGGTCTTCTTGTTGTCGTTTTTTCCATGACATATAAATAGTTCAAAGATACTGCCTTACACAATACATACTGAAAAGGTGAAAATCTCTCCTCCCAACGCCTATCCCTTAGCCAAATGACTTCAATTCTTTCTCGTCAAAATAAAGAGCAACTGGCAACCAGAAGACCCACAACTGAACTCAGAAGACCCACAACTGAACTCTTCTGTCAGAAAGACAACGCCAAATTTGCTGCAGCCAAAGAAGTGTCTAGTGCTCCTGCTGGGCTCTCACAGGAGATGGAAAGCTAAACAATGGCAAGTTCTGTGCAGAGAAGGACACAGCAGGTCTGGGGCACACGATCCCCACTCCAGCCCCCAAAAAGCAAGGTTCTTCAAACCTACAGGCAGAAACCTGGCATCATCACACCCACTTACAGCCTGACAATTTACAAGCTGGTAACACCTTCTATTTAGGAGAGTTCTAGTAACAGACAGAAATGTAAACGGCTTCCCACAAATAAGATAAACCTGGCACTGGCGCCAGTTACTGAGAACCCCCAATGCATCAAACCTCCCGTTTCGCTACTGAACCTTATGAGCCAGTGACCAGGCTTCCCTACAGCCGAGAGGGGAAGAGCCCACCCTCCGGGCTGGGAGTGGAAGGGGAAACAGAGGACAGGAGAGCAAGGGATGGAGCGCAGAGGCGTGAACAGCGTCCAAGCAGGGTGAGCTCAGCGCACCGCCGGGCGACAAACAGCAGCGGCCACGCGGGAGCCGGGGTGCGGGCTGCGAAGCGGGGTCCCCGGGCTGCGGAAGCCGCCCCCAGCGTCTCGCCCGGCACGGCTCGCGCGTCAGGCACACACACACCCCCACCCCACGCCCGTCCGCGGCTCTCGCCGAGTCCCCTCCCAGCGGACACACACCCGCAACCCACCGGTGCACCCACACCCCGGGCTCGCGCGCACACGCCCCTCCGGCCGGCGGCGCGTACGTACCCAGCAACACGCAGAGCACATCCAGGGCCACGTACGGCAGCCGCGTCTTGTCAAACATGGTCTCGGCGCGGGCGGCAGATGAGGCACCCGATTCACGAGACCGGGCCGGGGACTGGCAACGGCTCCTCCCAGCCAGGGGAGAGCAGCCGAGGGCTGACGGGGACCCTGCGGCGTTCTGACGGGCAGCAATGGCGCCCGCGACCCCTTCCCTCACAGCTCCCGCAACCACTCAGTCGGGGCCGAGAGGCTCGTGTGCCAGCCGCGGCGGGTCCGTTGCCTCAGGCCCTCCTCGGTCGGCCGTGGCCCACCCCGGCCGCTCGCTGTCCAGATCTAGGCGCCGTCTCCAACAGGCGGGGCGTCCGGACTCGTGCTTTAAGGATGGGGACCGGTAGGGAGGAGGAACACGAGCTCGGCCCCTCCCGCGGGGCAGCGCGGGACCCGCCTGCGCGCGGCCTCGCGGGCTGGGGTAGCGCGGCAGAGGCGGGGCGGCCAGTGAGGGGTGACGGGGCGGGGCCGGGGAACACCAGGCCGGGGCGCGCCAGCCAACGGCGCCTCTGGCCCCACCCCGCCCGACCTGCGCAGCCCGCCCCTCAAGTGGGCCGCGCGGCGGACGGACGGAGCGTGGGGTCACCTCCTGTGTGGTGCGAGGGGTGTTGCTCAGATCCATTTTCTGCTGGTGGTCGCCCAACCTGGCCTCCGCATCCCTGGCCGCCGGTCACTGCTGACTCGGGGGGAGAGCTGGACCCTCGACCCTGGCTGCCTGCCAGCTCTCCTCATGGCGATTGGGTAATAAAGAGGAACGGGATAGTCAGTGACAAAGACTCTCTCCCTGTCCAAACTTTAGCCAGGCTCCTCCGAGCCCTCTACTCGCCTGGGCCTCCATTGAGGCCTTCGAATCTGGCAGGGCAGAGCCCCGTATTAGCGTGAATTCTGCTAAGTCATCCCTGTACCCTTGGTATCTGGTTACTTTTCATATGTGATCAAATTCCTTTATACGTAAGTCCTTTAATATATGTCCTTGACCTGCCTTTAATCAGGAATCCCCCTACCCTTAATGTTTTCTCTTAATTTTCCATCCACTAACCCGCTCACTCTGCTTGTCTGTTGGCTGTAATAAACTCCCAGATGTCTTTGCTGTATTCGGAGTTGAGCACAATTGCTTTCTCCTGTTGCAAGTTATGACCCCCTATTGCAATGGTTTGGAATAAAGTCTTCCTCACCACTTTAACAAGTGTCAGAATGAGTTTTCTTTATTCCTCTCACCCCTGATTCCAGGAGGACCCTAGCAAAATTTAGTAATCTCAGTTTCCTAACCTATAAAATTGGGATGTTGATAATCCCTGCTCTGTGTTCTAGTCAAGAAGTGATAAAGCCCAGAAAAAATACACATGAAAGTGTTTTCTAAAAGCTTAAACCCTCTACAGATGTTAACCATTGGTATCTCTCCTCCTCATTCATAAGATGTGAGACAAATTGAAAACTGTTACCTAGTACTTCTGACTTTGCCTGCAAAACAGTCATAAAATGAGTGGAGAGATACTATCACCCTCAGGGAATCTGAAGATCTTGCCCCAAGTGATCCCCCAACAAGCAAAAAAATGTATTTGAAGAAGCATGTTTTTCTTTAAAAAGAATGTGAACATTGGATTTCACCTTTTGTTTGAATATCTTCTGAAAGCTTTAAACACTTTACACCTGAGAAGGATGTGCCACTGTTTATTCTCTGACTTCCCTTACTCCCAGAGTTACAGGGACCCCAAATTGCAAGGCCACAGTGAATTGAACTTACTTGTGGTATATAAGTATTTGGCATGTGTTAGGTGAATATTGTGATAGAAGTGTGTTGGTGTATAGGAGGCATGCAAGGGGACAGGGTGTTCACCTGGGAGCTCTGGAGACTTCACAGGAAGGTGAGAGTTAACATTGTTCTTTCCTGTCTCTCCCACACCAACAGCCATTTTCTTAGGTGAGAAGCTAGTAAAGAAGACAGTTAATATATTAAGACATGTTTTCCCTTTGGAGGAGTTACAAATAATGGCTTTAAAAATAGATCAACAGAGAATTAATTCCCTGGTGGTCCAGTGGTTAGGACTCCATGCTTTTATTTATTTTTTTTTTTTTATAATCCAATCCCATGCAATTTTATTTATTCTGGGCTCCTGCAAGAGGGGCTATTTTATTTATTTTTTAAGATTTTTAGAAATTTCATGTAATGTCTGAAACATTTATATTAACATATTTCCATACAAATAACCCAAAGAAAGTTTAGTATTAGTTGTTTTTTTTGTTTGTACTGCAGGTTCTTATCAGTCATCAATTTTATACACATCAGTGTATACATGTCAATCCCAATCGCCCAATTCAGCACACCATCCCCACCCCACTGCGGTTTTCCCCCCTTGGTGTCCATACGTCTGTTCTCTACAACTGTGTCTCAGCTTCTGCCCTGCAAACCAGCTCATCTGTACCATTTTTCTAGGTTCCAAATACATGCGTTAATATACGATATTTTTCTCTTTCTGACTTACTTCACTCTGTATGACAGTCTCTAGATCCATCCACATCTCAATAAATGACTCAATTTCATTCCTTTTTATGGCTGAGTAATATTAGGACTCCGTGCTTTTACTGCCAAGGGTCTGGGTTTGATCCCTGGTTGAGGAACTAAGATCCCACAAGTCAATGAGCATGGCAAAAAAAAAAAAAAAAAAAAAAAA